ACCTGGGAAGGTCCAGGGGTCGGTCACCCGCCGTCTCCAAACCGCACTACACCGGCGCAATCTGTGTACGACAGGGATATGTGGCCATGTGTTCGGCAATAGCGAGGGGGGTGCTCCCTTCCCCCATGAGGTGAGTTCCCCAAGGCCTGAAGTAGTCACTAAGTTGTGACCTGGCCATTCACCAAACACGTGCCTGTCTCTCCCCCCCCCCCGGGTTGCAGAGGTGAGCGTCAAACATGCCTCCCCTGCTGCCGGGTAAACGTTTGCCCAGGGAGGGTGAGGAGCCACCACCTGGCTCTTACCTCCCTGGGGGCGCGCCACTACCCTCCCCTGCCATGGAAGGGTATAAAGCGCTTGCCTCCTGGCTGACTCTCGCTAGCGGACGACGCCCTAGGGTGTTGTGTTTTCTGTGCTTGGGGTGCCCGTTTGCCCATGGCAGGACCAACTGGCCAGCGGATTCGATCTGAACCCTCTGGTTCATTGCACTCCGAAGCTCCGAGACTGTACCCACCATTCCCTGAACAAAAGAGGGTGGAGGATGTCCAGTCTGCGTCACTGAGGTGGGGACGTACCCCGGTTCAGCTTCTCGGCGAAAACACATGCGACTAAGGCCTCGTCTCGTAGCATGGTAGTGGCCCTGGCCAAGAGCCAGGCGACACTAGGGAGTGTCGCATGTAGATGTGCGGTGGCCCACCAGTAAAAATGTCGCCTGGCCTAGGAGGCTGGTGCGTTCTGCCTCCAAGGTCTCCAGAGTGCTGGTCACGCATAATAATGTGCTCAAGCAACTCTGCCTATAGGGCTGGATGGGTCGTCTTCAATTGGCAAAGACACCCATGGAACGCGGCTATCCCCCTTTGCCTGGTTTGCCAACTTCGTGGTACCGGGGTCTGGGGAAGGAGCCATGGAATCCGATTGGGGGCGTTTTGGTCTCATCCCACGCTATGAGGTCTGATCCCGAAACCACACCGACCGGGTAGCGTTTGGTCCAGTGGGAAGTGTTGCCTAATGTTATCCTCACCCGGGGGTCCTAAGCATTACATCCTCCATGGCTGACCAATGCTGCCCATCAACATCGTTTGCGTGCTCTGCGC